ACCCTGGCAAGCCTGCACGCTGCCTTCCCCATAGCTTTCTCTCCAGCTAGGGCAGTCAGAAGGAGCGATGGATGTCCATGCAGGGAAAGGAGGGATGGAGGCAACCAAGCTCCGCAGAGCCTCCGTGCCGAGGAGCAAGAGTCGCTGCAAAGCCCGAGATGGGCAGAGGGAGCAGCTGGTGAGATAAGGGCCAGGCAGCTCAGAGCCACCCTGTGCCGTAGCTTCCCTGGCGGGCAGGGGCTGGCAGAGGCCAGGCTGGGGGGGCTCCCCCCCCCCCCGGGTTGAGCAGCCTTGACCACAGTTGGTTGTGTCCAGGAGGACACCTGCACCCAGCACCCACCCAGGGTGAGGGAGCGGATTGGGACAGGAGCATCGGGGATCTGTCCCCCTCTTTCTGCCAGCCCCGGCATATTGCAAATATCTCCCCTGAGCCAGCCATTGGCAGCTTATAAATAATGCAGCCCCTCGCCGTGCAATAAGGGCTTGTCAGTAGCTATTCTGCTCTCATAAATTAAAGATGAAAAGGTACAAGGCTCTTGCCAGAAAAATGAAGACAAATTTTTAATAGCTTGCCAAGACACAGAGAGATGGAGCACTCGGGGAAAAATGAATTACGTTTTTATTATGTGTTTTATTGTGGTGTAATTGAACAGGATTAGCTGAGAATACAATATATTTCCAGGGCAGTGTGAAGAAAACAAAAATAATGATGATACCTGCCCCCCCGCACCACCAGCCTGCGCGGGGACACCCTCCGTGCGTGCACCAGCTGGGAGGTGGCCCTGATCTGCTGGCGGCAGCGAGAGACAGAGATGGGGATGAGAGGGACACTGGAGGGGACAGGGGACTGGATACACAGGAGTTTGGGGTGGCTGGGTCTGGCTGGATGGCCAGGCGAGATCTGGGCTCACTCCAAGAGCCCCTAGAGCTGTGGGGCTGGGGTCTGGTGCAGGGCTGGGTGGCATGGCAGCCCTTGGCAGCACGCACAGAGCCACTGGGTGTCTTTCATCTGTCCCATGTCCCCAGCTGCTTTCATCCCATCCCTGAGATCCCCTTTGGTCTGTCCCCCACCTGCACAAGCTGGCAGTGCTAGGCTGAGACCTGACAAACTCAGCTCTGGTAGGGAGCAGGTCTGGGGTGCTGCCCTGCAAACCAGACACATTGGCTGTCCTCTCCTGGAGCCCACGGACTCGGTCACTTCACTGGGCTAGGAGGGAACCTGTCCTCATGGGTCCTTTGGTTGGGGAGGAGAGAAAGGTGACCCCCCCGGCCAGTGAGTTTTGGGGGGCTGATAAGCCCAAAGGTGACACAGCTGTGTCTG